ACACTATGGTATCCCCATCAACCCAGACTGCCTAAAAGCCAGCATCTGCACTACGCTTGTCTCTCTATAGAGACAATGGCCAGTGTATTGTCTGCCGTTATATGTTACCATATAGCTCTTTCTAAGCAAGCACATTTTTTCTTAATGTCAAAAGAAACCATTATAGATTAACATGCATGTACATTCTATTATTGTTTTAAAAAGATTATTAGAGGTCAACTCTGGCTCTGGTAGGTTTCAGTCCTTCAAAACTCAGAACTGGGTTTTCCCCTGTAGTTAAAATTCATATCTGGCTCAGATTCAGAACCAGAACTCAGGATAGGCAGTTCAGCTGTAGCTTTACCTGTTTCTGGAGATTGGTATGATCAGGAGACAATAGCCCTCTTCTTCAGGTCATAGCTTCATAGTACAATCAGAGATGGAAAATTTTCATTAACCTCTCCCTAGGTATACCCAACTAAATCTACTTTGCACTTTGGATTTCCCAAAAATCCATTCTTGTCTGGCACATTTTCAGTATAGTCCTTTGAACTGTCAGCCCTCAAATCACATCTCCCACCTAGAGAGGTTACATGCAATCCTGGCTGACAACAATACACAAATGTTGCATTTAATACAATGGACTCAAAGATTCTTCAACTTAATTCAATAAGATCTGCCAAAGATATTCAGGAAATTGCCATATCTGTCACATGTACAACAATGAAAAATGACTAAGGTCTTGGTTAATGTACGTTCCACCTATGTTAATGCTGCTGAATCTATTGCCCCTGGAGTTAACTGTCTGCCCCATCCACACCCTCAGTTACAGGTAGTCTGACCACTGTTATTGTCAATCTTATTTTAATTGCCTCATCTTTTCTGTCTGAAATCACCTCTGCTTCTTATGGGCTTCATTTATGACCAGTGCTGGGCCCATAAGAAGCAGAGGTGATATAAGTTGTGGTACAGTGCTTGTGAGGGAAGTGAACCACTATGGTAAAGAGCATCATAATGACCATAAATTAATAACTTTTTAGTGATTGTCTGCCATAATTGAAAAAACTCTTCTAGTGTAGTGAGGTAGGTATCTTTTGTCTCCATGAAAGTGACATGAGCCTACTGGTTAGTGTAGCATAAGCCAGCAACACATGCTGCTAGACCATCCTCTACACAACTGCTGTATCATGACCACAAAGTCTGGGTTATAACCAAAGATCAAACAGAATCCAGGACATATAAACAGATACTAATCCCTGACAGCAATGGACATCCTTCTGTTTAAACTGGATAAGTAATCCCAGTTTAAACTCATAGAAATAGGGAAGTGTACATAATCCTTTACATGAATCCAGGAATATGGAAGAGAGTAGCATGAAGCATAAACAGTTAAAAAAATTAATTGGTTCATCTATCGGTGTCTATATTGTGAGGACAGCCTGTAGCACTGTAATTATCTCATGCCTAAAAATCTTGCTTTCAGATAATTACACACTTATTCAACCTTGGTATAATGCATAAACCTATCACGATTAAATTACAGGAATAGATTAAATGTGGAATGCACACTTTTAAAAGAATCAACTAGCTCTATACTGAGGCATTATTTTATAAATCTGAAAGCATAATAAACCTTTAGCTTCCACAATACAAATGCTTCTGCATAATTGCTTAACGCTGTTGGGTATCTTTCTTCCACAAGGCTAATCATTCCACAGAGCCTGTAAAATCAAGCTTTTTCACAGTTTAAAGAAACTCAGAGTAAAACTTTCCATATTCAAGGGGGAATATTTTCAACTCATTGGACATGGCCTACACTGGACAGCTCTCTTTAGTATTAATAGGAGCTGTTCAGCAGAAACCCTTAGAAATATACCTTATAGACCTTATGCCTGGATATGATTGACACTAATTTTGTCACAAACCTGTGCTCTTAACTTGAACTCTTTCTTAAGACATCCATGTGATTGTCTTTTTTTTTATTTTTAAATAACTTTATATAGGATTTGACTGCATTTATAGTTTAAGAAAACAAATGTATTTGAGGTTTTTTACTAATTAAACTGTTAATGGTTTGGGGGGTATTTAAGAATTAATCAGAAATGTAATCTAGCATATTTTGAATTTTTTATTAAGAGAAGTTTCAGAGTAGCAGCCGTGTTAGTCTGTATCTGCAAAAAGAAAAGGAGTACTTGCGGCACCTTAGAGACCAATACATTTATTAGAGCATGCTCAAATAAATGTGTTGGTCTCTAAGGTGCCCCAAGTACTCCTTTTATTAAGAGAAGAAACCCAAGAGACACAAACAGTCTGAGGAATACAATTACAAACATGATGCTACCTTATGCCCAGCAGCCATATTTGGTCTGTGGTTGTCACTGATTAACCTTAAGTAACCTACTGTGTTTTCATATTATTTAGTTAATGTAGTTTATTAAAGCAGTTTAGTTTAGAAGTCTCTTTGATGACTTTTTAGGCAAGGAGGTGGAGAAGCATGTCACTAGTTAAGTTAGTAATTCACACACAGGCCCGAGCAGTAGTTTTCAAACTGGGGTATTCATATGCCTAAGTGTATGGGAGCTCTCATCAAGGGGTATGTGAGAAAAATCCTGTAATGGATAAATGTCATTATTTAGTAAGACTTGGATATCTAATTACAGGTATATATGACCTTATCTCAGGTGGGGGTATGCGGTAGACCACCTTATTTGGAAAGGAGTACACAGCCTAAAAAGTTTTGACAATCGTTACACTATAGAAATAGTCTAAATACTAAAGCAAAGCATTGCTAAGAAGAGTGCTAAGTTGTATATGGGTGAATGATGGTGAACTTGAAAAGCAAGGCTAAGTGTGAGTATCGGATTTCAGTGTAAGCTAATCTGTTTAAAAATGGCCATTTTTATGATAATGAGAATCTTTGTGATAATTTTTCCCAGAATTCTGTATTTTTAATTAAGCTGAAATGAAAAGCCCACATAATTTTTTTATCTTCTCCTCCTCCACCCCATTTCAGTGATAAAATGGAAAATGAAAGAGGAAAGAAAGGAGTAGAAAAACATATATTTTTGAAACCTGAAATTGTCACAAGTTTGAAATAAGTCATTCCACTGTGAAGTCTGTGGGGGAGAAAATTATTTCTAATTTTGTTTTTGCAAAAATCTTTATTTTTAACCAGCTGTAAGGCTCATGAACTTGGGAGTAGAGCTGAGCGAAAAACTGATTATTTTTGTTGGCAAAACAGAGACTCTGTTGGGTTATTTTAAAAAAAATATTAGGTTGACACAAAGTAAATGTCTTGGTTTTATTTCTTGCCAAAATGAAATAAAATATGGCTTGATCTCAAATAAAAAAATGTTTTGTTCAACTCATAACATTTAATTTTCAGGTTTGTTACCATTTAAAAAAAATAAATCTAGCAAAATTTCTAAATAAAACATTTCAAAGTGAAAAGTTAAATTTTTCATTTAACAGTGTTGAAATGTTTTTGACTTTTTTTCAAAAAAAGCATTATTTTTTTGTAGCTGAAACTTTGTCAAATTCAGCCAGAATTCATGAAGAGATATGGTTGGGCTAAACCTCCATTTTTTGGGTGAATAAACTATTTGTCTGAAAAATTTTGCCCTGCTCTTCTTGGGAGGCCTGCAGACAATAGGAAAAGGGAAATATGCTGTCAGAAAAATGAGCATTTGAGAGTTAGTCTGATGGGGATGGTAGAATGCTTGTGAATGGGAAAGGAGTGCTGTCAAACTTGGAAGGTTAAGAATAGATTTGACAAATCATTTTTTTCTTAGAACAATATGAAACAAATGGGTAATTGGTCAAATAGCAAATATGTAAAAGCTTATTATACAAAAATCTGTTATTAATCTCTGCAATTAGCCCAATTCTGTTGAACAAGTTTGTGTTCCTGCTTACATGCAACATCAGTCTACAAAGGTCTTTTGTTTGTCCCACTATCTGAGCCTCAGATTTAATATATGTCAGAGTAACAGGTAACAAAAATAGAACAGCCATCTTCAAAGAAATCTGAAGCGGACGAGATGTATTACAGTATATTGTCTTGAGGTGATATCTTTTATTGGACCAACTTCTGTTGGTGAGAGAGACAAGTTTTCAAGTTTACACAGAGTGACCTCAGGAAGAGGTCTGTGTAAGTTCAAAAGATTCTCTCACCAACAGAAGATATAAGATATATATATAAGATATATATCAAAAGATATATCTCACCAATAGAAGTTGATATTATGGGACTGACAAGGCTACAACAACACTGTATAGTATATTGTCTTGTCCCTGGATTGCTTGCTACAGTATATTCCATAATGTATTGTTCATCTCCCTTAAATTACTCTGCTCGTTGGGCTTCCTTCATAAGTAGTGAGCCAAAGCTTTGGGACATTATAGTACATAATGAGAAAATGCATTAGCTGCAATATTGGTTACCTTTGTTTAAGTGCCAAGGGATACTGACTTGCTTTTGTTCAGGTAGAAATGATCAGACATCATCTCATCGAAATGATAGCACTTCTAGCTAGGCGAAATTCATCCCAGTGGAAAGGAGCCAGCACAAGCCCTGTTTTGAGAACTTAAGTGAGACAAAAGTAATGAATAAGGCCTTGTTCTGAACCTTTAAAACAGGATAAATTTCAGCTACTGAATAAAGTTTTTATATTGAAAAAACCCTGTTGCATTCCTGTGTAACATGCTTCATGTTTATCACTGAGTATGAGCCCAGTTTTAGTCTGGAATTTGAATTCACATGCGCAAGTGGATGGGACTTGATCAAAAGCTCATTAAAAATCACTGGGAGTCTTTTTTTTTTTTTTTTTTGGCGGTGGATCAGGTTTAAACCTTTCCATGTCTACGACAAAATGCAACTTATTGAGATTGAATGATGCATTCACCCAACACTGTAATAGCTGTCATTAAAGCATCTTGACTGTTTCAAAGCAAATCCATTTATTTCTGACATTTTATCAATATCACAAATATTTAATGTTCTATTAATAAAATATCTGCATTAAAACTATGACTTGTACTAAAATATATGACCAAACAGCAATGATTGGAACACTGGACCTCAATACAGTATTTGAAATACATTTTATAACAGGTTTGGTATGGTTAATGGAGAGGTAGGGTTTTGAAAGGTGCACATACATACACTTTAAAGCATTTGTCTGTGTAAAACTCCACAAGGAAATAAATCTAAGTACACACACAATAAACTTCTAAAACTTAATCTGGAAAAATACAGGTTTTGTTTATTCTTCTTCTCAAGAAGGTGCGGCTTCCCTTGTCTTAGTTGAAAGACCTTTGCCTAAGCAGATTTCTCCCCTATATTCAGGTCCAGAGACTTGATTGAAGGAGCCATCTTTCTCAGCTTGCCAGGGCTCTGTTCCCTGATGTCTGTCTAGTGATGGATGCCAAAGATGGATTCTGTCCTTGCATAAATCTTCCAAAGTTTGGTGAGGTGGTTCAAGAAGCAGGAAGCTCTCTTGCGTGCTCGGCTTGCTGTGTTCACCTGGAAGCTGACCTCATGTTGTTCTTCCTTTCCTTTGGGCTTCCCATCCCCCTGTATGTAAATAGGGCTTCCATTCTTTTGATTCTGCCATGCTTCATTTACATAAGAGAGCGGTAGATATCTGTGACATTCCCTCCTGTCTGGGCAGACTGTACAGCCTAATATCAATGAGTATTCTTTATATAGTATTAGTACATACATTTCACAGTATTAATCACCACTGTGTCATTAGCTTTCAGAAGAGACCCCATTCTATACACTTTTATAATACAATAATGTACTATACAATCAGTTGATCCAATTGCTTATCATTTGATGTTCAGCGCCCCTACCTTTATGCCTCAATAAACCTCTGAAATGGATACTTGAATGAAAGGGGCAGGAGTGTTCTGGTCTTGTTTTGCTCTTCTATGAAGTTTGTGAAATCTTAGCTGATAGTTGGCAGCTGTTGAAGAGTTTCAGAGCAAAATCCTGACACCGTTGAAGGGAGTGGGAGTTTTGCCATTGACTTCAATGGGCCAAGATTTCACCCTCCGAGATTAAAACAAAAGATTCATCAGTACAACATAAATCATAGAAAAGGCTGAAAATTAGCCTTGTTAAGATGCATCTTCCCATGGGGGCTTTCTAAAAGAATGATTAATGTCTGTACTTCTTTGGAAACACTGTTCAAACCCTGATCATCTTAGCTCAGGCAGGAGAATGTGAACTGAAATTAAAGCATTCATATTTGCAACTATGAAATATTAACGCTTTGGACTTCTTTAGCAAACTTTTAGACCATTACATGGTTAATGACAACTAATTCTGAGGCAGTTGCTTCAGACACACTACTTTTCTTCTGCCATAAACTTTATGCTTCTTTGAAAAAGATATATAATCTTTCCTGGTATAGCTAGCCTGGATCTTGGCAGCACTCCCATTGTACGTCTCCTTGTATTCACAGGTTACTCTCTTTGGATTGAAAATGGGAATCAAATCACTTGTGAAAAAAATTTTATGAAAGGAAAGCAAAATTTCCTCCAGCAGGGATTTTTGTCTGAAACTCTGAGCAGATGAGAAATCGTCTCATCTGAAATTTACACCTGTCTATCTGACATTACATTCGGATCTGGAATTGACCTTAAATGTGCCATCTGTTTTTGTATTCTGAAGACACGATGGCTCCGTCTACACTATGAGCGAGAGGCATGACTCCCCTGCTTGTGCACGCAGCCTCGGGCCGGCTCTCATCAAGTTAGCACAAGTAAATAGCCGTAGTAGCACCAGTCGTGTCAGCGGCGGCACATGCTGAATACGTACCGGCCCGTTTGCTCCGCGGGGCTCAGCCACAGCTCTGCTGCTGCTACTTGTGCTATCACAGGTGCACTGCTACCATGACGACGTTGCTATCCGCTCAGTAGCTTGCTAAGAGCTGGCACAGGTCTGTGTGCCTAAGCAGCGGAATCGCACCCCTAGCTCATAGTGTAGACATAGCCCGAGACATGCACCTTACCTTAAATTGTCGTCTGTCTTAAACGACAAAGACTCTGTTTATCTGTTTGTACATTGCCTGGCACCATGGGTCCTGACCCTGAATGTGTTGTCTGAGTACTACCTTCAAATAAATGTTAGGAGAGAGAGAAAAAATCCATAGATCGCTCTCCAACTGGCTTGCTTATAATTTACATTCCCTTCTTTCTCACTGTTTCTCCTCTCATCCAGCCTCTCCAAAATCTGTCCCATGTCCTCCAGTTCTGTCTCCTCCTGTTCCACATAGGTTACCTCAAACTATTGCTTCTTTCCTGCTGCACATGTCTCCAGGGTCATAGTTTGTGTGGCACTACAATATACAGGTTTCTTGCACTAAGTCTTCTACAATATTTGACTGAACTGTAGCCCGAGGTAAAGTTTTCATGGGTGACTTAAGGCCCAAGTCCCATTTTCAAAAGTGATCCCAACCACGGTGAATCCCTGCTGTGGTCAGAGCTGGCCTTACAATGAGGCGAAATGAGGCAGCTGCCTCAGGTGCCAGACTGTGGATGGGTGGGTGGGACCACAAGGACCCAGAGTGTAGAAAATTGTGTCTGCTGCTGATGCATATGTATTCTCTCTGCTCTAGATGCACAGAGATGGTGGAGTGCTGTACTGGAGGAAAGAGGGCACAAAGACATAACAGGCAGGCAGGAGGAAAGGTGAGAGGGAATAACAGAAAGCAGCAGGAGCTGCAGGGAGAGAGAGGAGGAGGAGGAGACTCTTCTGTACCTCTCTAGCATCCCCAGGAGCCTGGATTGATTAACACCAGCTTCTCAGGGAGCTTCCTGTTTCCTGCTGCTTCCCTGAACCCACTTGAGGAGAACAGGCAGTCGACTGAAGTAGTAGGAGCCATTTAGGCCCTTAAGATGCTGATATCTTCCCTCACTTAGCCCCTGCTACCACCCTGCTTATTTGTCCCCTTCAATTGAGTGTTGGGAGCCACTATAGCTGGCACAGAACAGCAGTCATGAGTGAAGGAAGAAAATGCCCTTCTTGGGCAGCATTCAGAAAAAGAAAGAAAGCAAAGGAAGCTGTTCTATCTAAGCAGGAAGGAGATCTCCTGAGATACATAGACACAAATGTTCACAGTGATCCTTCCAGCCCCAGTGAGGATGCGAGTGGTGAGGAGATGCCTGATCTTCCAGTTAGTCAGAGTGCAGGTGACCTGGCAGCTACTGCAGCATCCATATCTCCATCTCCAATGGATGTAACCATGCACACTATGAAGAAAAGTGTAGATCAGAGAAGAGTGTGGTGGAGGAAGAAGAAACAGCTGCTGCTGAGATTAATTCCTTAAGTCTAGATGATCCAGGACTGTGGACCCACTTGAGCAGTAGCCTGAGGGACTTCCTTGTACTGTATGGGCCACAGCAAGTGAAAAACTTCATGTTCCCCAAAGACAATGAAAATAGAAGTTTCCATCCAACACATTACTGGTGTGAAATCCCCAATGATGACAAAGTAGAGAGGCCATGGATTATATACTCAAAAACCTAGAATGCTGCATACTGTTTTTTGTTGCAAACTCTTCCAGTCAAATGTTCCAGCCACACTGGGTTCTACAGGAACAAAAGACTGGAAAAATCTGGCTAGAAATCTGGCATGCCATGAGAAGGCAGCAAATCACCAGAGAGCATTCCATAGGTGGAAAGAGCTTGAGATGAGACTAGATGATCAGCTTCAAGATAAGATTGCATCAGAGTCTCTTTACTGGCAAAATGTTCTGAGAAGGCTCATTACCATTTTAAGAATGCTTGCTACCCAAAACCTAGCACTGCGTGACACTTCAGATCAGCTGTATGTGCCAAACAATGGAAACTTCCTTAAAATTGTGGAGCTGATGGCTGAGTTCGATGCTGTACTCCAGGAGCATCTAAGAAGAGTCACCACCCAAGAAATGTACACAACCACTACCTTGGAAAAACAATTCAAGATGAGATCATACAGTTACTGGAAACAAAAGTCAAACAGAAGATTGTGGCAGATCTGAAGTCAGCAAGATATTAATCTGTTATTCCAGATTGCACACCTGACATCAGCCATACGGAACAAATTACTTTAATGGTGCATTTTGTAGCAACAACAGAACCTAGTGAAAATGTCCCTGCAATGGTGACTGTCAGAGAGCATTTTCTAGAATGTATTGACATTGATGATACTACAGGAGCTGGTATGACAGATGTGCTTCTTAAAATGCTGGAAGATACGGGAATTGCGATAGCTGACATGAGAGGTCAGGGCTAAGATAATGGTGCCAACATGAGAGGAAAGAACAGAGGAGTGCAGACATGGATCCGAGAGTTAAGCCCTCGACCTTTTTTTTTTCCCATGCAGTACTCATTCATTGAACTTGGTGGTCAGTGATACTGCATCAGCTTCTCGTGAGGCTGCTGAATTTTTTAATGTAATTCAAAGCATCTTTGTATTTTTCTCTGCATCAACTCATCGATGGCAAATTTTGAAGCAACATCTGGGAACATCCTCTCTGACACTGAGACCACTGAGTGCCACATGATGGGAAAGTCGAGTGGAGGCAATAAAGCCTATCAAACACCGTATTGGCAAGATAGATGATGCCATAGTTGCCATTATGAAGGATAATGCTATGACAGGAACTGTTCGTGGGAGAACAGTGGCAGAGGGAAATGGAATCACCAGAAACATACATGACTTAAAATTTCTATGTGGCTTAGTGTTGTGGCATGACATACTGTTTGAAATAAATGTTGTAAGCAAGAGACTCCAAGGGGTTGACCTTGATATATCTGGAGCAATGGATTAACTGGACAAAGCAAAGTCATACCTACAGTCTTACTGGTCAGATGAGGGATTTCAAAATGTTCTGAAGAGTGCACAGAAGTTGGCAAAGAAATTTCACATTGAAGCAATTTCCCACCCATTCAAGAATACAAGAGTCATCGAAGAAGAAGACGTTTTGATGATGAGACATGAGATAATCCCATAAGTGACCCCAAACAATGATTCAAAGTTGAATTCTTTAACCAGGTGCTAGATTGTGCTATACAGTCAGTTGAAGAATGTTTCATGCAGCTCAATGAACACAGCAATATATTTGGGATGTTGTATGATATTCCCAAAATCCACACTATACCTGAAGAAGACCTACACCAGGAATGCAGGGCACTAGAGACAGTGTTGACACATGATGATATGTGTGATATTGATGCGAGTGATTTAGGTGATGAACTGAAAACCCTTTCAAGATACATTTCGTCAGGATCAACTCCAAAGGCTGTTCTGGAATATATGTGCACAAATAAGATGACCACCCTCTTTCCAAATGCTTTTGTTGCTCTGCACATAACTTCTAACACTTCCTGTAACAGTTGCCAGTGGTGAACGCAGCTTCTCCAAGCTGAAGTTAATAAAAACACATCTACGCTCCACAATGACACAGAAGAGGCTGTTCGGCCTTGCAACCATCTCAATAGAGCATGAGCTGGCCCAGACTGTGGACCTTCAGGAAGCAGTTCAAATCTTTGCAACCAAGAAGGTACGGAAAGCACCACTTTGATTATTCAAACAGATAAAAATGCCAGTGTTTACTATGCAGACAAGAAAAGTTGCTTTTGCTGTTCAGGTGTTTGAAAGTTAAGTGTTACTTAAAATTTTTGAACAAGGCATTTTAAGTTGTTAGTTCTTCTTTATTGGGGTAGGTAGCAGAGCAGTACCATGAGAGGAGTAGAACGGGAAGAAGGCACAATTGAGACCTTTCAAAGTTTTGGCCTTAGCGAGGGGACATGGGGGCGTCATTTGAGCTCCCCGCCTCAGGTGCCAAAGTGTTGTGGGCCAGCCCTGGCTGTGGTAGGTTTTGTAGAAACACATTTGAAAAAAGTCCTTAATTTACAGAGGGGTGCCAAGGCATAGGTAGATTAAGGGCCAGACCCTACAGTTGGAAGCTGTGCCCATGCAGAAGACTGCAGAAGTCATTGGAGCTCTGTGCAGATGCAGGGGTCTTCCAGCAGAAATCTTTTTTGCAGGATCTGCTCCTAAGT